CGGGGACCGATGTTCAGAGGGTCGCGGGGTAAATCGTAAAACTTTATATAAGAGATTACGAATCTTCCTATTTCTCTACTGTTCGAAATTATATGAATTTAATTTTTGATCATTAATAATTGTATGTATTTCATTACAATTCTATTCTCCTATCTTTGCGACTTATTTTTCATTATCAGTTGCATTACTTCATTATCATGTGATGAAAAACACAACCTGTGGTATTCTTACCTGGAAAAATCAGTAAAAATACCGGTCTGCCTTTCTAACATTACCAATGATTGATAAAAAAAAGAGATGGTAAAGTTACCAACGGACCTTGGTAAAAACGGCAGCGGCGGCGGCATAGAAACATGTTTCATAAGCGTCATTCATGCGTTAGTAGGCGTTGATGAAAAATTGCAATTTATTGCAATTTTATCTCTATAAAATCGCGTTCGATAAAATCGCGATTTTATTGCAATTTATCGCGATTTTTCTCCCGATAATATTGCGATGATTCGCCGTCGATAGAATCGCGATTTTTTTATCCGATAATATTGCAATAAATCGCGACGTCGATAAAATCGCGATATATTCTCCGATTACATCGCAATTTATGGCGATCACTACTACTCGGGAATTGCAGCAGCAAATCCAAAAATTGTTACGCATCACCGCCACTCTTTAATTTAAATATCAAACCGACCTGTGGCCTTTTATCAAGGTTAATATAAATACATCCCGTTTTATTAATGACAAACCTATTATATTTCGTTTATATTATATTATATTCTATCCTATTTGCTTTCCATCCATTTTATTTTATCCAATATAAACCGTTTCAAACTTATTATTCACCTTTTTTTAAAACTCCAACCTTAATTGAAGTAAGTTTTTAGCTAAATTGAAGATGATCTTTTGAATGAATAAGCACTTAACAGAACTTCAGCAGTATTAATATTAATACAATTTACGAGAATAATGTAAATTAAAAAAAATTAAGTGATATTTTCATAACGAATTGACAGAATATACGAGGGGGTTGGGCCGCGGAGCGGCCAGGGGGCGGAGCCCTCTAGTTTTGGTAAAAAAAAGCTTCAAAACTTTTGTCGCGTATACCGCAACGCGTTTATTCATAGAGATTCTCTATCTCCCTTTCTCCCATATTTTCGGTCTCTCTCTATGAATTTTCAAAACCTAGCATCGAGCAAGCTTCACTTACTCGTTGCTGTGATCACGTCGTACGCATCTATCTTTATTATATTTTTTATTACCAGCGTCACGAGATGGATTGAAAGATAAGACTCTCTAAGACCGAGCTCCTCTTTTAACAAAAGGAGCCGGGCCACTTCGATTTCCACCGCGAAGCCCTAGACTTCAATTTCGACCACGAAGTCCAGTACTTCGGATTTTCTTACCAACTAGCACCGCCATCCATTGTGCTCCGATAGTCAGTCTTTTAATCTTTTGTAACGATTCCATCTTCTTGAAAATACACGCGAATTCCTACGTCACCCAGTAACTCTATCGTCTTTTTTTCATTGCTCTCCCACAGCTAATTTTACCGCCACGGTTAGGATTATTTTAGATGTTTCAGTCCGTCTAAAGCTTAACTAAATCCTTCACCGCGACAACTTTCTTGCCAAAATTCTAATTGTTTCTTAAATCAGAAGCGATTTCAGGCAATTTTAATCAAGAAACTATAGTATATTTAAGTACATTCAGTGCACCCCCCTTTTATCCTGAAATCACTAAAAATTGTGGTAAAAAATTGTTAAATCAACAATATCATTTTTCTCGTGACAGTGAGAACGAAGTTTTCCTCCCGTAGATTCGGAATGCATTCATTCGTAATGCAAAAAAGTTATACGGAGCAACTCACCGATACCGCATAAGAGGTATATTGATACAGTTAGCTGCGGCCACTGCGGCAAAAGGAACCAATCGGCTGACGAGTGGAGGAGCTCGCTGAAACCAAAAAAGGGTCATGTAGACATGTTTCTGCCAAACGGAACTATGTGCATTCGTCAAGTTAAATTGAATGGAACATGAAATTGTATGGTATTATGCCGCCTGAGTTCACAAGCATGCAGATTGGTTTTTGAATGTTATCGAAGGACTCTAATCACGCAACTTTAGATGATGGATCGGACATGGATAATTCGATAAAGTTCAATCGATGAACAATATTTCAAGAGTCCACTCGCCGTCTTGGGCTCGAAACAGACGAGACCTGGCCGATGGACATACATACAACAAGTGAAGACGCGACGCGGTGAATCTCTCCAATCAATGCGTCAAGATGCAACTATTACCACTCCAAGGAAGGTCGTGTTGCATACATAATAAATGAAGGCGTTTCGACTTTCCTTACGCTCGCTGTTCTTTCCTGTCTATAAAGGTACTCTATTCCTTCCTAGTGCGCTAGCATGCGTAAAGGGAGATTTTCACGGCGAGGAGGCTTAAGATGATGACGAGTGCACCTAGGACTTAAAAAGATTTAGATTTAGATTTATGCAAGTTTAAGAAAAATAAAAATCAGATAAATAAAAGAAACTGGATGTTGATGAGAAAAATTAAACATAATATTAATCATAACGCAAACCTACCTTTGCTAATTTGTTCAAAGTTAAAGCAGTTCCCAGGGCACCTCCAGTTGCCGCACAGTAAGACTTCACAACCTGCCTTGCATGAACAATGATTAAACATGTATTAGTGGTTATATTTTGCGTTGGAAAAAGAGTCGGGAGGAATGTGACAATTCAAAGTTCATGCTAATAAAAAAAAAAAAAAATGGAAAATATTAAAAGCCTTTAAAATTGTTTCAAAGTAAAAATTTAAAAAAAAAAACTCGCAACGGAGCCGTCATTTTTATAAAAATAAGTGTTTAACATTCGCATCCGTAGTTCGCATTCATTCTCAGTTTTTTTAATCTAAAAGTATACCGGTGGAAAAGAAAGCAAAAGTATTTTGTTGCGATACTTTGCTGCATGAAACATTTTCATGTAATATCAGCGAGTCACTTCTCAAATATTTCGTGTCAGCAGAGAATTCGATCCCTTCAAGCCAGTTGAAATAACACGTGAAGTTTTGGCCAACCGAAAAAAATTCCCCTCGCATGAGGGATAATCATTTCATCGAGCCTCACCCGCATAACAAAGTATACTTTAACGACGCGGCGTAGGATAGAAGTATAATTAGTTGATGGACTTACTCGATTGGCATGGGATCAGCCCCACTGCGATTCGTATAGTTGACAAGAGCGTTGAAAGACTGGTTGACCCACTGCCAAAATATCACTGCAGGGGTTGATCTGCAAACCAGTCAAAACATGAGTCATGATCATAAAAAAAACGAAGAGGTTGGAGAAGTCATGTCCCATTCACAACTGAAATGTTGTTATACTTGTTATAAAAGAGAGTGATAATGTGAAACTTGATCCCAGGAGGACTCTTCAAGGCCCGAAAGTGCGGCGTAGGTAAACCGATTTTTTAACTGGAGTGAACAATCATAATTTTTATGAATTTTGAGTAGTAGTCATTGTGATTGGAGAGAAAAAAATGTAAACATGTAAAATATTCAATCCGTCTTTGTTTGGGTTTTAGTCAGCTCCCTACATACTCTAAGGATCCCTGGGATGGCTAAGGCCAATTGGATTACATTTTGCAATGAGGAACCACTAGGTATCTCTGGCTCTCCTGTAAAAGCACATACCTGCATAGAGAAACCAATGGCATGTATGTTGTTTCTAAAATGGGCCAGAAATATAGTGGCTCCTCATTGCAAAATGTTATCCCGTCGGAGGATTCCTAAGTGCCCACGATATAGGTTCTCTGACCCTCTAAATATCCATTTTTTGTCACATAAATCGTTCTACCGTTCTACCAGGCCGAATTCCAAGATTTTTGAAGCTATCAACAAACGAAAATCCCAGTATGACCCCGCTCTATCCAGATTTTGAAATATGACCCCGGTTTTTTTCATTATACGTATAATGATAAAGTTGTGCGTTCTCCCATTTAAACAATGCGAATGCTCATTTTCTGTCATTGTTCGTTCTTAAATTCACCCGGTTAATTTTTAACATTTTTGCGGATATCGATAGGAGAAAGTCTCCAGATAAGCCCGCTCTACTCACAATTTTATTAACTCACGGGAGCCCATTAAGCTACCCTTAGAGACCGCGATTCGCTCTCGCTCTCTGGGGGTTGAGCCGCGTAGCGGTCAGGGGGCGTAGTTCCATGAAAGAAAGGTTCTCATAAAAATGACAAGGACGAGAGAATTGTTCATGAACAACGGCTTACTTGTAAAATGTCATCATGGCCCCGACAATGACCATGTTGCAGGGAACCTGAGCGGACATTCGTCCGAATAATACCATTTTCTCGCCTGTATCCGGGTGGAAAGCAGAATCCATAATATATTTTGCCTTGTACACATCTTCCAAAGTTTTTCCGACCAGCTGCTCTCCCGCTCTGAAATAACAGGAACATCTCATAAGAGGCACTTGAAAAATAAGTGTGCAAGAGAGACAGAACGCAGGTTCAAATTGGCAAGGAGTAGGCCAGGAATAGAGTGTAAACTTCATTTGATGTAGTTTGCTTCAGTGTATCTGATGAGTAACGCATAACGCATAACGCCCCCCCCCCCCCCCAAAATGCATTGGGGTTGTACCGCAAAGCTGTCAGGGGGCGTGCCTTCAAGTTTCCTCATTAATAAACAATGATATGAACTTGAATCGAAGGAAAATCCAAAGTAACACAGATTGCAATAGGTAGCAACTACGTAGTAAAAATATTGCAATTCCACTGAGTGTTATGCGTGTTGCCAAGCTCCTATTTGAAGGGGCCCCATTTATTGGAACTTATTGCAATACAATTGAAATGAGTTGCAATTTTTCATTGCATTGCATATTGCCTATCTTCCTGACACAATGAGCTAATTTTGTTGATTGTTTAAAATCGACATAAATCGCCTAAATGATGTAAAAATATTGAAAATTAATGGTAAAAAAATTACAATTTTATTAAAATCAGATTGCAATTTAATTTCAATATTGTCGTTGCACTGTGCTATTTAGGATAGGGGTATTTAAGAGAAGGAGGCAAAAAGTAACTTGTAGGTGATTTCGAGAGCAACTGCTTTAAAGTTTGAACCCTACACTGGGTTTTTACAACTCGAAACAAGTTTGAGCTAGTGTTCAAAATCACCGAGCTACAATTTAAAATCTTGAGACAATTTTTTTTTTTTTTTTTGAAGATCACTGACCAGAGGCGAATCCAGTAATTTCGCAACACCGGATCTCCTCCATTTAAACCTATGTTAAATAATCGATTCTTGCCGGAGCACCTGGCCCCTCCAAGAATCGATACATTTTCATTCGTTTAAATGGAGAAAAACAATATTGCCAATTTGCTGGATCCGCCAATGTCACTGACTGGAAATCAAGTTTGTTAAAAATTAAATTTATCTCAGCTTTTTCTAAAAGTGTCACTTATATTTCCTTCCTCAATCATACAGGCTTCGGCAGTCATTCGTAATCTGTGTTTCGAGCTGTGGTGACCGTGGATTGTAGGCATTTAACTTTTTGAATAGTCGTCTGTACGACCATGTTATAAGAGACTACAAGCATATAAGTATCATCATCAACTCACTTGTACTTGAGAACGATTTCCCTGGCCTCGTCTAGTTCTTTCGATGTGCGAAGGATATTTATGGGGTTGGCTGTGGTGAAAAAGTATTTTGCTCGTCCCCAGTAGGTGTTCTGGTCCCATTGTGGCTCATCAATGTTGACCAGCGGGATTACAGCTTGTTCCACCTGTTGTGACATATTGAATTAATTGATGAAATGCACACTTGAGCAAGGAACATTTCGATAAATTGCAATTAAATGGTAAATTTATTGCAATTGAATGTTAAAGTTATTGCAATTATGTATCAGTGTTCAGTATGTCGTCCATTCGCTGATTGAAGGGGCTCTCTTACTGCAATAAAATTAAAATTAATTGCAATTTGTTTTGCATTGCAAATCGCCTATCTTTCTCATACATTGAACTAATCTTGTCGATCGTTTAAAATCGGCATTTATTGACCAGGTAATGCAATATTGCAATTTGATGGCAAAACAAATAAAAAAATCGCGATTTCATCGCATTAAATCGCAAAATTATTTCAATATTTACACTACACTGCGCTACTTGGGTACGTACCATGAAAAGCAAAAAGAAAATAACGTTGAGCCTAATTCTTTTAAAGTAACTTTTACAATCCTCTGTCTCTTATGTGATTACTTCGCATCACAAAAGGAGAGAGAGAGTGTCGAAAAAAAAGTTATTATAAAATACAGTCGATACTTTTGCTACTTTGGTGCTTGTTACCATGGGTTAGTTCATCATGCTTTGCGAATTTACCCGTTTACTCGGCATTAGTAACGGCTGGAAATCAAACCAATTACTGTATTTGCTATGTCCTACGCTTCGTCCAGTTTGCCTTCAATTACGCGATAAGGCAACGTGAGCTAGCGGCAATAGACAACTAAGTACACCTACTTGAAGCAATGCAGCCACGTTTACGCTGCTCCATTAGCAGTGGCAGTCTCTCACTAATTACCGCGTGCACATACAATGATACATAGTCTGACCAGTATAAGCTGCGACTCAAAAATTATGCAACTAATAGGCCGCTGAGACCACGCTAGGAAGTATCTCTTCACAGTGAAGGCGTTTCATATGTCGTCCTTAGCACGGCAGAGAGCTCGGCCTCGCTCAAAAGACACCGCGTGAGTATTCGTCCCTCGTTTCGTTCAACCACTGGTTGAACGAAACGAGGTTTGAAAGGTTTAAAACGGTTTGAAAGGTTGAAGGTTTGAAAGGTTTAACGAGGTTTTAAACGGTTGAGCGAAACGAGGGCCGGATTGAGGGAGTGGCCACATGGGCCGCGGCCCATGGCGGCATATCTAAGGGGCGGCAAAAATTTGCAATTTTTTAAGTGTCGGTATGAAAAAAAATCGGATTTATAAAAACAAAATTACAAACGAGAAGGGGCGACAAAATCTCTCATTTCCTGAGAGTATAGTAATTTCTAATATAGTCGTCTCTTAGTGATACAAGAGACAGCACCTTCAACAAGTCGAGTTAAGAGAGAGACCAAACACGCAATTTGGCCTGGAACGGCGCGTCTTAGAGAGAAATGATAACGAAGACTTGAGATAAAAAGGAGAAGCCCTCGGCGCAGCGATCGGCATGTAACACATATTAGCGCCTACACGACTGCACAAATACTTCACGCATTGCATCAAACACAGTGCGGTCATTGTAGCCAGCGTGAAACGTATAGCGCCTACAAGAATGCATGAATACTTCACGCATTGCGCCAAACACAGTGCGGTCAGCGTGAAACGCATAGCGCCCACAAGACTGCGTGAATACTTCACGCGTTGCGTCCAACACAGTGCGTTCAGCAGCGGTCGGCGTAAAACGCATAGCGCCTACAAGACCGTCGGAATACTTCACGCATTGCGCCAAACACGGTTTTCAGCGGAAACCAAAAGTTTCCAGTCTGGGCATCCTCGACTTCAATGGCTCATGGCTCAACTCCCTTGCCATAGATAAACGAAGGGGGAGTCCAGGGGGGCCTGGCCCTTTAGAACTGAAAATAGTTTCATATGCGGGCCCCCCCCCAAAAAAAAAAAAAAAAATGTTCCAGATGTTTTGAATGCAACAATTTGGAAGTATTTTGTGCTGAAAGTAGAAAAAAAAAAACATAATTATTCCGCAGAAATTGATGGAAAAATTCTTTATGAAAGCTTCAAAATGCGTCCGATTAGTCGTATAAATTCTAAAATTTCTCGGGGGATGCCCCTCGGACCCCCCATCCTCCCTGCTTGGGGCCCGGACCTTAAAACTGGTACCAGGGCCCGAGATGGGATGTGGCGGGCGTGCTTGCAATTGCAGAGTATGATATACACGTATGTACAAAACAAGTTGCTACAGTGGCACCTTTTCATGATGGACCCTCGCGAAACGGCGAAACGTCTCCGTTAATAAGAGGAGGCTCTTGTTATAAGTAATTTGAGTCCATTAAGTCGGGTTTTTTTTACGCCAAATCCACTTTAAATCCGAAAGATTCTTTCGTTAAAAGGGGTTCTTTGCTGCAAACAGGCTCCGTTATTATGACCCAGTCTCAACACATTGTGTCAACTCACCATGTCTCGAACACACAATCCGATTATCCTAAACTATGATAGAGCCACAGGCAAGATTTCTATGTTACAACACACGTGAAGCATTTTCGCGAACTGTCAAGAGGTTTTGATGTAAAGTTATTGATTGTTGCATTGACCGCGTGGTTCCAACGTCCACGTTCTGCGACGTGAAGACTTTGGGCTTTGCGCGGCACTGGCTCTTTTCTCCCGTTGCGAGCGGACCTCCAATCTCTCACACTTTGAGATAAATAATCAACTTCGCGATAAAGCGGAAAGTAGCAATATCGAATAAAACCGCGCACTATCGACGCGACCCGACCGTAAGTGGGCCTCGATCCTCTCCGTTTTTAACGGCGAAAATAAGAGTGTGTCAAGAATTGATAAGAGACTTCAATACGATAAAGACTGCGCATGATTGTGATTCCACGTTTTGACCTACTATTTTCACTTTGTTCCACTATTGTGCGACAGAACATCAAAAAGATGAAAACGGCTTCGCATCCTCGCATGCATGGGTGGGAATAGGAACTTTTCAGTGAGATGGGGGGGGGGGNNGGGGGGGGGGGGGAGGCGCTAGGAGGCACAAAAAGGCACTCCACGAAGGAGAATCTATAAGACTCATCTAGTCCCAAATGAAGGTCTAGTGGGTTTCCTAGCATGTGAGAGGGGTTCGCAGGATCTCCTTGGGAGAATTTTGAACAGTTGTGTAGTCTCAGCAGCAATTTTGACCTGTCTCTACCGAGAAGTTGATTCAATCACAGGTTTAAAGGTGAAAGATATTTCGTTGCTTTTACCGTAAAATTCCCTCAATTTTTTTGGAAGGGGGGGGGTGCAGGCCTCAGTTCTGACCCTCCTGTTTCCGCCCATGTTTGCATATACAGGGTTATTCAAAAGTTACGCACCACTGGCCATAACTTTAGTTCTAATTATGATATCGATTTGCGGTTTGTGGCGTCCTTCCTCATATCGAGGGGGAAACTTTTTGAGGTACTTTTCAGTTCTTCGCCCCCCCAGGGGGAGGGGGGGCGGGGGGCAACTCAAAAATTTCAAATGGCAACCCCCATCATGTGATACATCGNTGAATAACCCTGTATATAAACATAGTTAGGATTTTTAGCTTTTATGTTTTTATTTTAGGTGCAAATTACAAATAAAAATGTATAAATTATACAGGTATAAAAATTAACTGAATAGGTAAGTAAATAATTGGAAAGAATAAGAAGAATTTGAGTGAAAATATAAACGGGCCCAGTGATTTTCAAAGGTCAAATTTCGTTCGCCTAATTTACTACGGATTAGGTACTTCTAACTGATTAATTTTCTTCAACAAGGATGGATATGTAGGGAAAGAACTTGTGTAAAAATAGCACGGTTAAGTGCTCTTATGCTTTTTAATCGTATCATTATAAGTATGGTACCGAGGCCGGCAGCTTGGGCAATACGCGGGACAGAAACAGGGAATGAAAAGAACACTGAAATGTGACTTTGGAATTCGTAAATGAACGCGCTTCAAACGATCTTATGTAGGAATGGTCAAGAAATTCAGGGTAACTATAACGTGCGAACTAGCATCTCCACCAATCAAAGCGTCTCAATTTTTCATTAACTTGAAGACGCTTGAGAGCACATGCATCAATCCAAATTACAATATTCATGAAAGAAATCGACAATATAAATGGTGGAACTGTAGAAAGAGAAAAAATTCCGATGAGTTGAGTTTGTACTATTTATTGGTGCCCGTTGTAAGTTCTGTGGTATCTCGTGGAAATGAAGGGGATTTTTTCAGCCGTGTGCCGACTCTCGACGTTTCGGTGGTCTGGTCGATGTCAATTCCCATAACCCAAAAAAGAATGCGGATCGGTAAATAACTCTAGAGAAGTTTACCTGATGGCCGTTTTCAGAGCTTTACTGACATTTACATTTTTTAAAAGCAAACAGTATCATCAGTTTTGGCCGACTGCGACTCCGACTTTACTAGCAGATCATTGTGAAGCATGGTAACAGAGGGTATATTTAGTCGGGAAACTGGAATTTTGGGCAAAAATTTGAAAATTCAGGAATCCGAGAGGGTGGATCGGGCCTAAAATGCTATCTCGGCCCCTGTCTAGCTGATCTTGGTGAAACTTGGTATCAGGGGGTATTTTCGGACGGGAACCTCGAATTTCACGTCAATTTTTCAAAATTCAGAAATCCAAATTGGCGGACATGGCCTAAAATGCTATCTCGGCCCCTGTTCAGCCGATCTTGGTGAAACTTGGTATCGGGGGGTATTTTCGGAAGGGAAACTCGAATTTGTGGTCAAATTTTGAAAATTCAGGATTCTAAGATTACGGACATGGCCTAAAATTCGATCTCAGCCCCTGTACAGCCGATCTTGGAGAAACTTGGAAACAGTGGGTATTTTTAGTCGGGGAACTCGAATTTCGGGTCAAAATTTGAAAATTCAGAAATCCAACTTGGCGGACATGGCCTAAAATGCTATCTCGGCCCATGTTCAGCCGATCTTGGTGAAACTTGGTATCCGGAGGTATTTTCGCACGGGAACCTCTAATTTCGGGTCAAATGTTGAGAATTCAGAAATCCAAATTGGCGGACATGGCCTAAAATTCTATCTCGGCCCCTGTCCAGCCGATCTTGGTGAAACTTGGTATCAGGGGGTATTTTTGGTAGGGTACCTAGAATTTCGGGTCAAATATTTAAAATTCAGAAATTCAATACGGCAGACATGACCTTAAATGCTATGTCGGCCCCTGTCGGGCCGATCTTGGTGAAACTTGGTATGAGGGGGTACTTTTAGTCGGGAAACTCAGTTTCGGGTCAAATTTTAAAAATTCAGAAATCCAAGATGTCAGACATGTCCTAAAATGCCATCTCGGTCCCTATCCAGCCGATCTTGGTGAACAGGGGTTATTTTCGGACGGAAACCTCGAATTTCGGGTCAAATATTGAAAATTCAGAAATCGAAGATGGCGGACATGACGTAAGATACTATCTCGGCCCCTGTCCAGCTGATCTTGGTGAAACTTGGTATCGGGGGGTATTTTCGGAAGGGAAACTCGAATTTTGGGTCTAATTTCGAAAATTCAGAAATCCAAGATGGCGGACATGGCCTAAAATGCTATATCAGCCCCTGTCCGGCCGATCTTGCTGAAACTTGTTATCAGGAGGTGTTTTCGGACGGTATACTCGAACTTCGGGTCTAATTTTGAAAATTCAGAAATCAAAGATGGCGGAAATGGCCGAAAATGCTATCTTGAACCCTGTCTTGCTGATCTTGGTGAAACTTGGTATCGGGAGGTATTTTCGGACGGGAAAGTTGAATTTCGGGTCAAATATTTAAAATTCAGAAATCCCAGATGACAGACATGGCCGAAAATGCTATCTCCGCCCCTGTCCAGGTGATCTTGGTGAAACTTGACAACAGGGGGTATTTTTGGACGGGAAACTTGAATTTCGGGTCAAATTTTGAATATTCAGAGATCCAAGATGGCGGAAATGGCATAAAATGCTATGTCGGCCCCTGTCCAGCCGATCTTGGTGAAACTTGGTATCGGGAGGTATTTTTGGAAGGCGAATCAAATTTTAAAAATTCAGAAATCCAAGATGGCGGACGTGGCCTAAAATGCTATCTCGGCCCCTGTCCAGCCGATCTTGGTGAAACTTGGTATCGGGAGGTATTTTCGGAAGGGAAACTCGAATGTTGGGTCGAATTAGAAAAATTCAAGAATCCAAGATGGCGGACATGGCCTAAAATGCTATCTCGGCCCCTGTCCAGCTGATCTTGGTGAAACTTGGTATCGGGAGGTAATATCGGAAGGGATACTCGAATATCGGGTCAAATTTGAATATTAAGAAATCCAAGATGGCGGACATGGCCTAAAATGCTATTTCGGCCCCTGTCCAGCCGATCTTGGTGAAACTTGGTATCAGGGGTCATTTCCGGACGGGAACCTCAAAATTCGGGTAAAATATTGAGAATTCAGAAATCCAAGACGGCGGACATGACCTAAAATGCTATATCGGTCCCTGTTCAGCCGATTATGGTGAGACTTTGGATCAGGGAGTATTTTCGGACGGGAAATTCGAATTTCGGGTCTAATTTTGAATATTCCGAAATCCAACATGGCGGACATGGCCTAAAATGCACACTCGGCCCCTGACCAGCCGATCTTTGTGAAACTTGGTATCGGGAGGTATTTTCGGAAGGGAAACTCGAATGTTGGGTCGAATTAGAAAAATTCAAGAATCCAAGATGGCGGACATGGCCTAAAAGCAAACTCGGCCCTTTTCCAGCCGATCTTGGTGAAACTTGGTATCAGGGGGTATTTTTGGTAGGGAACCTAGAATTACGGTTGAAATAGTTAAAAGTCAGAAATTCAATACGGCAGACAAGGCCTTAAATGCTATGTCGGCCCCTGTAGGACCGATCTTGGTGAAACTTGGTAACAGGGGATTTTTTTGGTCGGGAAACTCGAATTTCGGGTCAAATTTTGAATATTCAGAAATCCAACATGGCGGACATGGCCTAAAATGCACACTCGGCCCCTGACCAGCCGATCTTTGTGAAACTTGGTATCAGGAGGTATTTTCGGACGGGGACCTCGAATTTCGGGTCAAATTTTGAAAATTCAAAAATCCAAATTGGCGGACATGGCCTAAAATGCTATCTCGGCCCCTCTCTAGCTGATCTTGGTGAAACTTGGTATCAGGAGGTATTTTCGGACGAGAACCTCGAATTTCACGTCAACTTTTAAAAATTCAGAAATCCAAATTGACGGACATGGCCTAAAATGCTATCTCGGCCCCTGTTCAGCCGATCTTGGTGAAACGTGGTATCAGGGGCTATTTTTGGACGGGAACCTCGAATTTCTGGTCAAAATTGGAATATTCAGAAACACAATATGGCGGACATGGTCTAAAATGCAAACTCGGCATTTCTCCAGCCGATCTTGGTGAAACTTGGTATCAGGAGGTGTTTTCGGACGGTAAACTCGAATTTCGGGTCTAATTTCGAAAATTCAGAAATTCAAGACGGCGGACATGACCTAAAATGCTATGTCAGCCTCTGTCCGGCCGATCTTGGTGAAAATTGTTATCAGGAGGTGTTTTCGGACGGTAAACTCGAATTTCACGTCAAATTTTCAAAATTCAGAAATCAAAGATGGCGGAAATGACCTAAAATGCTATCTTGAACCCTGTTCAGCCGATCTTGGTGAAACTTGGTATCGGGAGGTATTTTCGGAAGGGTAACTCGAATTTCGAGTCAAATGTTGAAAATTCAGAAATCCAAGATG